ATATATATATATATATATATATATATATATATATATATATATATATAAATCATTCCACCGAATGGGTGCCTTTTACTTCCCCCTGAAATTATATCTATAAATGCATATAAAAATTAGCTGCAAAATATATTTTCTTATGAAAGAAAATGTCCTGCATGTGATCCAATTGCAAATTTAAGATACATAAAGATGATTATTAAAAAATACCAAGAATACTGAAGAAACAGCTTTTGTCACCTGTCCTCACTCTGTAACCTTACACTTTACAATAAAACATAATAAATAAAATCCCAAAGAGCGTTAGGTTACTTCACGTAACCCCGGTTCTTTGATAACAGAGTGAGGTGTTTCACTATGGAAAATGTTCCAGCGTGACCTTCCACGCAAGCTCCAATGACATTACGTCTGTCAAAGACAGACAGGTTGAGCTGTGCTCAGGGCTCCGCCCCCACCATAACACCACAGTCAACTGACCACCTCCTACTTATTCTAGGATGGTTTCTTTCTGTGACCATGCAAGGAGGGAAGTGTTGGTGAAACACCTCACTCTGTTATCAAAGAACCGGGGTTACGTTAAGTAACCTAACATTCTTTTTCTAACCGTTTGGTGTTTCACAATGGGAGATATGGCCCACTCCCGTATTGCAAAAAAGCCCCAAAGCCAACAACTATCCTAAGAAGGCTGCGAAGTACCGGCGTCCAGTATAGCATGAGCTAGGGATGACTGAGCCACATTCAGCCGGTTAAAACGTACAAACGTATGTGGTGTGGCCCAGCTAGCTGCCGCACAAATATCTTGTACCGATACTCCTCGAAACAGGGCCCATGATGTGGCCATGCTCTTGGTCGAATGGGCTCTTAGCCCAAACAGGGCTCTGTATCCCTACATTTAACAGAGACTAATTGTCTCCACAATCCAATGTGTCAGCCTCTGGCATGGCACTGGTTTCCCTTTATGAGTTGAGGCCCAAGAAACAAACAGTTGGTCTGACTTCCTGAAGTCAGCTGTCCTGTCAACATATGCTTTCAGTGATCGCACAGGACACCAGGAGTTAACGTCTTGCTCCATTTCAGAGGAGAATGGAGGAGGATGGAAAGTAACAGCTCTACTGAACAACATCTCTACGCAGAATCCATTACCTTAGGCACAAACGCTGGATTGGGCCTCAGACACACCTTAGAGACCCCCAGGTGCCCACTGCAAGCAGGAAGGGCTGATAAAGCGTGTAACTCACTCACCCTTTTAGCTGTAGCTAAAGCTAAAAGCAGGGCAGTCTTAAAAGAAAGAAATTTCATCCCTGCCCCCTCCACAGGTTCAAAGGGATGATTATGGAGGGCTTCCAGCAGCAGTGAGAGATCCCACAAAGGTACCAGAAGCCTAGAGACTGGCAGCTTACGTCGTACCCCTTTCACAAAGCAACACACTAACGGATGCTGCCCAATGGATTTGTCGCCAAAACCGATGTGACAAGCTGAAATAGCTGCCAAATAAACTTTGATAGTGGAAAAAGCCTTCCTTTTTCCAGTAGATTCTGTAAAAAACAGAGCACGTCCACAAGAGAGCACTGGAAGGGACTCTGTGCCTCTCTCCACACCATTCTTCAAAAACTCACCATTTGTCACTATACTGATAACGCAAAGAGGGGGCCCTCGCATTCTGAATTGTGTTAATGACCCCTGGGGCGAGACTAGCTAGATTTAGATTCCACCTTTCACGGGCCAGGCCCTGAGAGCCATGTGGTCTGGGTGGGGGTGATAAATTTCTCTCCTGGCTTGGGACAGAAGGTCCCTGTGACCAGGAAGAGGCCATGGTTCCCCTGACAGCATCTGAATAATTTTTGTCACCCAGGGCTTGGATGGCCACCAAAATTAAAGACCGGTCCTGTTCTCTCACTCTGCTCAATGTGGGAGAAATCAGGCTGAGAGATGGGAATGCATACAGCAGCATGTTTGACCACGGGTGAGCTAGAGCATCCACCCCTAGTGGAGCATCTGCGTCTGACAAGGAGAAAAACAGCGGGCAGTGGGTGTTTTCCCATGAGGCGAAGAGATCTACGGCGGCCCTGCTGTATCTCTGCCAGACCTGCTCCACCACCTGAGGGTGGAGCTGCCACTCTCCATACAGAGGGTTGCCCCTGGACAACAGATCTGCTTCTCTGTTCAGAATCCCTGCCACATGAGTTGCCCGGACTGACAGGAGTCTGGTGCTGCTCTATAAGATTAACTCTCGGGCCAGTCTGTGTAGCTGCTGGGATAGTGTCCCGCCCTGACGGTTGATGTAAGCAACCACCGTTGAGTTGTCTTCACTAAGACATGACGGTCCTTTAAATAGGGCAAAAAATGCTTTAAAGCTAGTAAAACTGCCTGCAGTTTCAGCACATTTATGTGAAGGCATGACATTCTGTGACCACACCGTTCACTGTCCTGCCCATCATCGTGGCCCCCCATCCTCTCAGGGATGCATCTGTTGTGATGGTGACCCTGAATGTTACTGCTCCTAGCTGAACCCCAGTG